ACCGGTTCCCACAGCATATCAGAGTTCTTGGAAGTACCAACCGGAAGACCAAGATAAGACATAGGCAGAGCACCCACTCCACAGCCTACCACCGAAGCCCTTTCTTCTAAAAGTTCCTCTCCCAAGTTAACACCGAACAACTTACTCTTGGATAAATTAAGATTTAACCCTGACATTAGACTAAAGATCCTCAACACTCTCCTAACATTCAAAATTTGAGTAGGAGAGTCCCTGCAGAAAATAATTAGATCGTCTGCAAATTGTAAGTGAGTCAACAAGAAACGATTATTCTCCCTACCAATACTAAATCCTTCAAACAAACCATTATCAGCAGCCTTTACCAGCATAAGGTTCAGCAGTTCCCCGACTATATTAAATAGCTGAGCTGAGGAGACAAACTGCAGCCTTGTCTTAACCCTTTGCCCATCATAAATTCCTCAGTGGGAGAACCATTAACAAGAACCGAAATAGAAGCAGAAGATATGCAGAGATTAATCCAAGAAATCCACTTATCTCTGAATCCCATAACTTTCAAAAGCCTCAATAATATCGGCCATTCTACCGAATCGTAAGCACGCCGAAAATCAGCCTTAAAAACAACGCCTTTCCTCCCCTTTTTCCTCCAAAAATCAATAGCTTCATTAGCTAAGAAAGCACATTCGTGCAGCTGCCTACCCGGGATAAAGGCAAACTGTGTAGGGCTTATAATATTTGTAATGACAGACACAAGCCTTCTAGACAGAACTTTGGAAATAATTTTGTACAGACTGCCAACTAGGCTGATTGGTCTGTAGTCTTCAATTCCTTCCGGGTTACTGATCTTTGGAATCAAAGTAATAAAAGCGTGGTTAACCCCATGCTCCCAATTCCTTCCATTGTAGAAATCTTCAACAAACTTCATAATAAAACCTTCAGGCTGGGCCAGAATTTCTTAAAAAACCCCATCGTAAAACCATCAGGACCCGGTGCTTTGGAGCTGTCCGACTGAGATATTGCCTCCCACACTTCTAGCTCAGAGAAATGCCTTTCAAGAACTGTCACCTGATCATGATTCAGTTTAGCAAAGTTCAAATCCATAGCATCCACCTCAAGAGCTGAATTCGAGTTATAGACAGCCTTGAAATAGTCATAGATAGAGCCTCTCAGCTGAACAGGGTCCGAAACAACCACACCACCCACCTTCAATGCAGAAATGGAGTTAATTCTGCTTCTATTAAGTGCACAAAGGTGGAAAAACTTGGTGTTTTTATCCCCCTCGCTAATCCACTTCAATCTAGACCGCTGTAACCAAATACTCTCCTCCTTCCTATGCAAATTCCACAGTTCCTTCCTCGAACAGACAAGCAACTCCCTTTCTTGAGCAGAGATCCCCCCACTCTGAAATTTCAGCTCCAATCCATTAATCCTCTCCTCCAAATCTGAGATTTCTACCGAAAACCCTCTATGATTAATCCTAGGCCAGTTCTTTATGGCTAGCTTAGTTTCTTTGAGAAGGGAGAATAAGCCCCTAGCCCCGAGACCATTCCTCAAAATTGCAATAGAATTTTCAACCACCCCAGCAAACCCCTCCTCCTCAAGAAGATAGTTAAAAAAACGAAACGGCTTAGGACCCCAATTAAAACTTTCCTCAACTAACACGACAGGATTATGATCCGAAAGGGATTTAGGAAGCATTCTTTGGATCACATTAGGAAGAAAATTTAAAAATGATCCAGTAATAAGAAATCTGTCCAGCCTAACCCAAGTGGGGGACTCTCTAAAATTACACCAAGTGAAACGCCCCCTACCAGCGGTAAGTCCATCAGGTTATAAAGATGAATAAAAGATCTAAACAAATCCATAGAGTGCCAATTCTGAGTAAAACCACATTTCTCTTCCGGAACGAGATAAGCATTGAAATCCCCCCTATACAAACAGGCACAGACAAACTACCCACATAACACATGAACTCTCTAAAAAACTCTTCTTTGTCAGCCTCTACCGATGGGCCATATACATTTATTATAACACACTCAAAATTACTCAACTTAAACCTCCTTGAAAGAGCCAAGAATCTTCTGTCCTTATGCTCAGAACAGACCTCGAAAACATCCTCATTCCACAAACACATCAAGCCCCCGACTTTTCAAAATAGACCATCCTAGCCACTGCTCTAATTTTTTCCTTCTTCCCTAGCCCCCTAACATTCCAAGTAATAAATTTAAGATTAGACATGCGCAAAAAACCTCACAACACCCCCAAACACTCCTACTCAGTCGATCAGGAATCATTACAAGGCCCCTTCAGCTGCAACTTAACAATCTCCTCTTCTAACAACTGATTTCCCCCTTTAAACAAAATTCCCAGCATGTCACAAACCTCCCTAGTAGCAACAGCTTCTATCCTAGCTTCCACATAATCCTGCGCAGACTGCGTGAGTTCCCTGTCTTGGTCCAAGGAATCCCTGACCAAACTCCTAAACACCCTACTATAAACTCTATCACAGAAATTAATGACCACTTCACCTTCCGAGCCCACACTGCCAGAGTGAGTAGGGGGCACCCTAAACCGTCTCTGAGAACTAAGGTTGTTGGATCGTGAAAGGACCTTGACTGGACTGGTTCTATCACGAGGAGACGAAATAGGATCTCTAACACTCGAATTAGAACAGCAATCCTCATTAATGTTTAAACTGAGGCCCTCCATGACCACTTTCATGTTCAAAGGACCCACTGAAATAGTACCCGGACAGAGATCCCCAAGGCTACCTCTCTGCCCATCAGACTGCTCAAAAACCAGGCGAGCCTCCTGGCCACATTGAGAAGACTCCCCCTCCTCCCTAGTGCACATCCTCCCCACCAAAAAACTGCCATCTTCTGCAGGAAGGTCTGATCTAATGTTGGAATGAGAACAACAATTGTCCTCGGCCCAATTACAAGCCGGCCCAGAGGGACAAACCACCTTATGAGAGACAAGGCATTCCTCATTAAAATCCGGCTGGGCCTTATCGACAGGAAGAGAAAAATCTCCAAGTCCCAAACCCCTTTTACAACCTTCAATAAAGTCCCCCCCACCTTCCTGCTGACTTGGATTCCCACCACTTGCTGTCTCCCCATAGCAAACATTCACATCCCCCATATCCTTTAAACCAACATTCTCAAACTCATTCCCCTTGATACGCGTACCACGCCCACAAGAATAATCCCTTACCCATGCTTTCACCCTATTCAAAGAATCTGACACAGCACAGGTCCCCAGCTGCCCATCCTGACCGTGAACGTCAACCCCTTGGCTCCCGTCGGAGGAACTACCCTCGCAGGGATGTACCGATCCGACCTCTTCCACCTCATCTTCCAGTACTGGAAAAAAATCATCAGTTCCTTCCACCTTAATCATGATCTTAAACGACCTACCCAATGTAGTAACAGAAACATGGGGAGGAATATCAAAAGGACTTTCGATCCTCAACAGCAGCTGAGCCACTCTACAATCCGATCTTCTAGTTGTTTGCTCCTGAATCTTCACCAACTTACCCCATCTCGAAGCCAAACTAGTGAAAAAAGGGGCAGACCAACAGTTTAACAGGACTCCGATCAAAGAAACTGCACAATACTGTAAAGGCACACACTCATCATCCATAACAGGATCCAGCCTATCAAACCAGAAAGATAAAGTCTCCCACTTGTCCTCCATCAAAGCAAATTTCTCCTCCGCTGAACGAAAAACAACCAAACAGGCGTTTCTTGCATATCCCCACCTAACCACCTTGACATTAAGACCCTCGTTCCTTAAAGCCCTCTGCACAAAGTCTACTTCAAACCTCTCCTTACAAATGCCCGTTAAGGACGATCTCAGCCATGTCCTATCCTCCGTTGGGATGTAAATGTCCAAAGGTTTCTTCACCGCCTTCCCCACTCCAGATGTGCGCATCTCCTGGCCCTCTACTCTTTGATTTGTACCTTTCCGGATAAACCCTGACACTTGATCTCTATTAGTTGCAGCCTCAGACTGCACTACCTCCCTATACGAACTACCATCCCTCAAGCTGTCAACCGACTGACCCTTCCTCCCACTTCTTGACGGAACCTGAGGCCCCTGCTTAACCAATGACGACCTCTTTCCTCGAACAGATTCCCTCCTCTTAACATTCTGGTACTTAGCAGCCCCTACAAAGAGTCTTCTCCCGTCCAACCACTTCCCATCGACAAACTGAATTGCTTTCTTCCTACTTCCTTCCTCAGCAAATTGAACGAAAGCAAAAGTAGAAGACTTATAAGATGACTTCTCTAAAAACCGAGGAATAAAAATCCTCAGAATCTGACCATAAGGACTAAAAAAATCCCTTAACACACGTCTTGAGACCCTAATACTAAGATTTTTGATGAACACTGTCCATTCCTCATTGGAGGCACTGGACTTTTCCGAAAGTTCTCTAATTCTCTCTCTACCAATCGCACTCATTCTCTCTCTCCTTGTGAGGGTTTGCTTATGATGTACTAATGTTTCATCTATAAATTTTTAGGCACTCTTTTCCTCCTTTCTTTGTCCTCCATGTTACTTGCATAACATGGAGGGTGAAAAAGGGGGTTTTTAATGAGGCCTAATATTCTATCCAAAAAAAATAGCCAATATTTAAAAAAACCCAGACCTATAAAGCCATTTTAACAGTACATGACTTTGTCAAACTGTTTAGTTTTGAATTATTACGATATTTTTTTAGTAGTTGGTCATTATCTTTCTGTTTTTTAAATTATTTTGAATTTTCTTTTAGGCCGAGTATTGTTCTATAAATACTCTATTTTCAATCAAAAAAACTCTTTTCCTCCTTTCTTTGTCCTCCTGTTACTTGCATAACAGGAGGTGAAAAAGGGGGTTTTTAATGAGCCTAATATTCTATCCAAAAAAATAGCCAATATTTAAAAAACCCAGACCTATAAAGCCATTTTAACAGTACATGACTTTGTCAACTGTTTAGTTTTGAATTATTACGATATTTTTTTAGTAGTTGGTCATTATCTTTCTGTTTTTTAAATTATTTTGAATTTTCTTTTAGGCCGAGTATTGTTCTATAAATACTCTATTTTCAATCAAAAAAAGTTGTATTTCCCTTAACCTTTTTATACTCTTTACCTATATGATCCCTCCCTCCCAAGGGCATAGGTCAAATGCCCAAACAGAACTTGTTTTCTTACCAACTTGTGTCACCTTTTCTGTTATCTGTTATATCCGTACTTCCTGTGGATCTTGAAAATGTTAATTTGGTTACAATCTAGCTACAAGAAGGGCCAGTTAGGCTTGATTGAAGCTTCTGTAATGTCAAAAAGTGACCTGATTCAATTAATGAATTCATAAAAATTTTACATTGATTCTTATATCCATAATAAGCCTAAGTTAGGAAACTCTAAACTAGGAAAAAGACTGATTCTAGGAATATTTGACCTAGAATAAATCCCTCAAAGTTATGGATTACAATCACTAATATATTTACAGAATATCCTAGTTAATACAACCAGTATTCCTTATTTAGGAAACTGGAATCTGACATGTAAGAAGTCTTGTTCTTAAAGTGTTGTAAAGAGAAGCTAAGATGACGTTTGACAAACTTAAAGTAGAGAGTGTTTTAGAACACCAAAAGATAACCATTTGATAATAATTTTATCTTTACTAACAAAATAGACTAATCTTAATTAAGCCAAATCATAATAAATTTAGAGCTGTGAAGAAATAAATGAAACAAGAAACAATTTTAACTAAAAGATTCTATCAAAAAAAATTTAACTAAAAGTAAAAAACAACAAAGAACTGAACCAAATGCAGAAGATGAATCAGAAATAATGACTCTCCTTATATTTTGTGAATTACTAAAGGATAAAATGAGAATGTAAAATAATTCCATTTGGTATTTGTTACTAAAAATTAGCATTTAAAAACAAACTTTAAATTATAGCTTTGTTTGTGAGCCTAAATGTACTTCCCACATCATTAAAATTTGAATGTTGCACCTTATTTTTGTTTTTGATGGAGAAAAGTTACTTCATAAGTGAGCCAAACATCCACTAAGAACATCAAAGTAAAATACAGGATAAATACCTCAAGGATGGGTCCACGATCAGCTCCCAGTAAGTGAATCTCATCCAATATAATAAGTCCGACCTGTTGATTATATTAAACACATTAATCCTCAGCCACCAGAACTTATCATATGACATACAGCTGGTATTTGCATTATCTTTAGAAGGGCAAATAACAAGAATAAAAAATTATAAGCAAACCTTTGTGACATAGCTTCGACTATGCCAATTCCGACTAATACCATCCCACTTTTCAGGAGTAGATATGATGATATCAGCAGACAAAAGGGACATCAAATCTGGAGTATAATCTCCGGTCATTTCAACCTTATAAAAAAAGTAAGATAACATCAGTAACTTTCAAAAAAGAACCGTTAACAATGGATTAAGAAGTGCATATGCAAGTGAATAATGAAAAAAATATGCATGCATATGCAGAATGTATGCTTCTAGGTTCAAAATAATATCATTACCATTTCTTTTCCAAGCTGAGAGACAAGACGCTTCCTCCAATCATGCATCCTTTCACGTACAATGGCCTTCAAAGGTGCTATGTAGATAACCTGCAGTAAGTCACCACGTTTCAGGTACAGAGCAATAAAAAATGTAAGATGATAGAAATTGTTAACACAAGTTCAACTAGAAGACAGAATGCATACATTTTTCTTACATAAAACTAGGGACTATGCCAACTAATATATGAGCAGGGTAGAGAGCACATAATCAGTTAGCTGTGAAGGGACTACGCCACAGATGTACTAAATCCAGTAAATGACTTACTGTTCATTTGGCAATGTATTAGAACGTTAAAACACAGATTATTTACTTTCTCCAAAATTCGCTGCTGGCTGGCAAAAGGTATGTTAGCAAGAAGCACTCATTTTGATGCTATCTTTTATCTTTAACCTTTATTTTCCTTTCCTATTTCTTTTATACCAATCTCTTTCATCATGTCAATAAAAATATCAACACGCATACCTTCATATCAGGCTGAGTATTGAAGAGGTGCAACATAGCAAGTTCAGCAGATATAGTTTTCCCACTACCAGTTGGAGCTCCTAATAGAACATTGTTATCTGTGTGATACAGGACATGAAAGATCTGACATAACAGGAGAAAAGAAACAAAGATTAGCATAGTTAAAATCTAGAACAAGGCATCAATAAACAATAACCTAATGTAAATTGATTGAAGCAAACCTGTGTTTGTATCGGATTAAAATGTGAAAAGCTATACAAGGACTCATAAGTGCTGTTGCCAAGTGATGTTACAGGCAGAGGCTTCAAATCAAGAAGCTCTGTATGAGTAGTACGATCCTGTATGAAGCATATACCATATTAGAAGATTTTTGTCAAGAATAAGTAGACAAGCACTGTTTGATCAAACGTTTCTGACATCGTTAATAGGAACGAATAAAAACCTCTGGAAGTTTTAGTTTTTGGAATGATATGGTGTAGAAAGCCTCAGCATACAACCAAGAATCAGAAACAGCACGAATGTAGTACTGAGGAGGATGTGGTTCAAATATTGGTATAGTAAAGGAAAGCTTCTGAGGTTCTGCTCTAGCCATCTTCTTTGTCAGTGTAAATAGTTCGGAGTGGTAGATGTGATCATTCTCGGTGTCCTGTCCAAAATATTCCATAAAATAAGATAATCTAAATCTTTAATGCCCATAAACATGTTAATCAATAATAATAATCAAAAAGATGAAAAGGCCATAACATGTTCACAATAACATCTAAACAAAAACAAAACATCACACATTTAGTTAAAAACAATAGTAAGTTAAGATAAGATCAATTCAGTGAAAATGAAGATATGAAAGATATCAAAGCCAAAAACACCAGCATATTGCATGAGAGAGACCAGTTTGTAAGTCAAAATAGTCATAAATTGTCACTGAAAGAAATCAAATCAGACACCTATGCTGAATTCCTCTGCAAATGAAACAACCTAGAAAAGAGCTAGCAAGTTAGCACCTCAACAAGAATCCACCAACGTTGTGCGGCACCATGAAAACGATCTTTCCATATAAAATCAGAAGATATAAGCAAATCCACCTGAAAAGTGAAATTATTGTCATAGAGGAACCCTAATTTGATACCAATCTACAAACTAAAAGCTCTCTTCAAGATTTAAGCTAAAGAAAAGAGAATAGTTCAAAGGATAATTACCTTTAAAACAGTCCTAGTTATTGGACTCACAGTGGCTGATAACTGGATCCAAGGGAAATACCCTAAATATTGCTTAACCAACTTCCATAATCCCAAGAGAATGAAAAGGTTAGAAAAAATCTTGACATCATTCCAATAAAAAGTTAGACAAATAAATACAGTTGAAATAGATACCCTTCCTCCAGGTGCATAACGAATCAGAGCACCGATGTCTTTTTCTTCCATCTCATGAAGACGATCTAAGTCTGCCCCTCGTTCTTCAAGCTTCCTTAATATCTAAACCAGCAAAGATGAATTATCATAAAAACAGAAAAAGTAATGAATCCTTTTGAGCAATCAATTCACAATAGTATTGGGACATACTTCTAGTGAAAGATCCTTATCAAATTGTCTGAGCGGATGCTGATGAGGCCAAATTTGGCGATCCACAGCCTTACAGTATTCTAACATGAATAATGTCATCTCACACCAGCCTTTGCGCAAGCATATTTCAAACAAAGCACGCATGATTCGTGCCAAACTAGCACTTATATATGCAGCATCTGATACCAATGAAAAGGAATCAATGGAGCCTCTTGATATGTAGAGCTACAAATTATTTAACAACCTCATTAGTCGCAACAAATTGATTCACTTAGCAACTAAAAAGAAGTTTTCATCGCTGAACACGAAACAAATACCTGAATGAGAATTGAAATTTTCCCATATTTGTTTGAAGGACCTCCTCTAACTTCTAATGGACATGATGTACGTGCCAGCATCTCTAGCTCATTCTGCTCTTCTTCTCGAACAACAATGTTTTCAAATTCAGAAGAATGGGCAACCATTTCAATTACCTATAGCAATAGAAGAATGAGAGGACTATGAAAAGACTTCTTAGTCTTAAGCAACTGTCAAAACCCCATCACAGAACAATAAGTCTAATTAAAAGATAGATCATCCAGGGACCATGGGAAGAAACTAAAGAATTCAGAATCAACAGCCATTGAATCATCGTAACTCCAAGAGTAACAATGTCAAGAAAATGGAACAAAACATTAAAGTAAAAGCAAAAGCAAAAGAGATGAAAAAATGTATTCAAACTAATGGAAACATGTAAAATCTTATGCGTCTAACAACTTACCTCACTGTCATTCATATGGCGTCTCAGCATTTCATTGTAAGTTTCAACACTCGAGTATTGGATATAGAAGTGACTTGCAATACGACCAAGCTCTGTACAATAGAAATTCCCACTTTTCTCATCAAATCGCATCATTTTAGCTTTGTCTAGTGAACGTGCAGCATCTATTATAAGAGATCTTTGCTTTAAACTCAAAGATGGATCCGCAATAACCTGACAAACATAAAAGCACAACAGATTCAATGTAGAAACCCTCTTAAAGTGAGGTTTTAGAATCAGGCCAAACAAACATCTAAGAACATGGTAATATCAATAGAAGGAACTTGTGTTATATTGTCAAGCAAAAAAGCATCATTGTGGTCAGACAACAATCCCTCTCCTTGCACCCCCTCACCTTATTCGCCCTGAAAGGAAAATCATTCATCTTCAACCTCACAATCTAAAATCCCCAGAAAATATCCAGTATGACAATCACCAAGAATATAGGAATACCCATCTTGTAACTTAACCAGACCCTTTGAGGTGCCCTATATCCTCCTCTGCAAAGGGTCTAACTGGGGCGAAAAGGGTCGGCTGATCTTGGAATGCAACATTGTTGAGTGGCTAAAGGATCCTTTAGGTGCCCTATATCCTATGAGTTTATAGTTAAGGAGATTGCTGCTATGGTTAGTAGGGAAGAAATAATTGTTAGAGTGATTAGTAGGAACGCGAATAGGGAAGCGGATGAACTAGCGAAAAAAGGGATAGGGTAAATTCTTAGACTGTATTTGGGATCTGTTGTGATCTTTGTAACTTCGGGATTTTAACCCTTTATCAATAAAAACTGAGGTACTCTTTTCCCCTTCCGCTTTTTGCCGAATTCTTAAGGATTTAGCAATTATGATGGGGGTTTCTAATGAGGCCTCCAATTCTTATCAAAAAAAAAACTTAACCAGACCCTGAGCAAATGGCTCTAGTTACGTACTCAAAAACCTTAGATATCCATAAACCAAAGAAAAACATATTCATAAAATTATCGTCAATTAAGAACAGAATATCAAATGAAATTGAGGTAGCATGGCAACATATGAAGATATTTATAAGGAGGTATCCAGATTTCAGAACAATGATGATAAATTTCAAAAAAAATACAACTAGCAACAATATTGGGTACCTCATCCCATCCAATGCCATAAGCCAGTGGATTCAACCTCATCCTGATAAAGAGATAGGTGTATCCAAGCCATGCGCAAGCCTCCTTGACATTAGTTACAGTACCCAGTGCTACCTCAGCATTTAAATTATCTTTCAATGAGCTGATAAACTGCA